GAGAAAAGAACCTCACAGCAGCATTAAAATAATAACAAACAGAAAAACAGGGCACTGTAGCCAAACCACAGAAATTACAAATGCACCTATTGTTTTCCATGATATTCTTGCAATCATTAATGGACAGTCAGAAATGGATAGACAGAAAACTCCGGTTACATTAAACCCAGCAAACAACTTAAAAATGCTTTGGGATCTCTTCCACCAACTGTATACGGACTGCCTCTGTTCCAGTGAGCTGATGCACTCTGAAATAAAGGCCAAATTCACAGACTTTATGTGTAGGTGTGAAGTGCTGCCAAGTCACAGCCCACTTACGATGACCACATAGCGTTTTCAAGGCTAGAGAACAACAGAGGTGGTTTGCCATTGCCTTCCTCTGCATAGCAGTCCTGGAATTCCTTGGTGGCCTCCCATCCAAATGTTAACCACGGCCAGCCCTGCTTAGGTTCCGAGGTCTGAGAAGATCAGACTTGCCTGGGCCACTCAGGTCAGGGCCACAGACTTATAGGAGTCACAAAATTTCAACTGGCCTTCCTCTGCTAGAGTCCACTGACGTAAGCTGTTGAGCATAGTAGAGCATTTCCCCAAAATAACTGCATGAGGGCATTTTAGGAAGTAATGACAATTTTTGATACAAAGTATAAGCAGCATTTTTGCTATTAAATGTCTTTAACATGGGGCTGGAAGGGAGGAGAAGCAGTGGCTTGGGTCAGAAATCATGCATGTTTAAATAAATTAACTACGGCTAGCGTGAATTTCTGAATGCAGGCCACCACCTACAATCAGCTAGGGTCAGGAGCTGAACCACAGTTAGTTTTAGTTATGGTCTTGTGTGACATACAAATGTAGTAATCTTATTCCTTGATGCCACCCTGGCCAAAATGCAGGCCAAGTCTATAAACACAATGCAGAGGAAAGAGTGAAGGCAAAGAAACCTGCATTTGTCAAGGCAAACAGGATTTGAATGACTGCCTGTTAATCAAATCCTAGTTTTGCAAACTAATCATAGTTTCACATTATGTCTGGAAAAAACCACTGCCTTCTTCCATGCTTTCAAACCAAGCACGACAGGACACCACTGTGAACGCACTGCTGCAGAGCAATGGTGACATCTAGTGCCCAAAACATGCAATCCACAGATACAGGTGTACTGTGTATGTTGAAGCAGCCTGAATGGCCCAGCCTAGCCCAATCTTGTCAGAACTCAGAAGCTCAGCTGGGACACACCCATGGTTAGTTCTTGGATGGGAGGCCACCAAGAAAGGCTGGGGTTGCTAAGCAGAGGCAGGCAATGGCTCATCTCTTGCCTTGAAAATTCCATGGTCCTGTGGTCACTGTGAGTCAGTTGCAATTTGACAGCATATTTACTCCATGATTACGGCAACCACTTAAGAACATAAGAGAAGCCAATGTCGGATCAGGCCAATAGCCCATCCAGTCCAACACTCTGTCACACAGTGGCCAAAAATACCAGGTGCCATCAGGAGGTCCAGCAGTGGGGCCAGGACACTAGAAGCCCTCCCACGGTTGACCCCCCCCAAGCACCAAGAATACAGAGCATCACTTGCCCCAGACTGAGAGTTCCTATCTATACACTGTGGCTGAGCCACTGATGGACCTCTGCTCCATATCTATGTACTAATAGCGAAGCCACCCCCTGTGTGTGGATACCTAAATCCACACATCGGGGGCACCTGGGGGGCAGGGAGATTTTCCTGCACATGTGGGCCAATGCCCAGGTGTGCAGAAAAATATGAAAAGTTGGAAAAATATTTAAATTACATAAAAAGTAAAAATTAAAAGAGCGTTCCTTGCACATGCGCAGAGAATGCTCTGGGAACTGGCGGGCCGGTGGCTGGAAGGCGCTCAGGCCTCGCCACTGGAGCCGGGGTGGGGTGGGGGAAGGAGATTGGTGGGGCCCAAGCTGGAGGGAGGAAGGAGGAGATTGGGAGGCCCAAGCAGCCGGAAGCCACTCAGACCTTGCCGCGAGAGCGGGGGGGAGGAGATCAGTGGGGCCTGAGGTGGGGGGGGAAATGGGATTACCATGAAAACCAAAGGTTGAAACATAAGAATCTTGAAAGACATTCCATTTGAGATAAGAAAGAAGAGACAGCAGTATTAAAAATTGACTATGTCCTTACAGAAAAATTCCACTCCCTACAGATGGATGATACCAGAGGGACTTATCTTCAACTTCAAGGAAAGTAAAGAAAAAATAGACTCTGTTGTAAAAACTAATGCGTTTTTGGAGAAACATAAAAAAAGTGAGAAAGCGAAAGTGAAAGCAGAGGACGACAAGACAGAAGAAGACAATAGCGAATGTGAGCTTGGAAATACCACAAATTCATCGAGCAGTTCCTCAGAAGAGGGTTCAGAATCGCATTTGAGAGAAGCTGTCCCAAACTTTCTAAGCATAAAGGAAGAAGAAGAAGAAATAGATGTGGACATTGAAAGTTTAATACTCTTAATCATAAAATACCATAATTTACTTATTTTGACTAATACCGTTTTCAATGTTTGTACTGATCAGTATCTGAAATAATTAACCTTCATCTTTTATTTTTAGTGTTAAAGGCAAGGGAAACTTTGTAATGAATTACTTTATTTTTTGAGATCCTTGTTAGTTTAGTAGTTTTAGTTAGATATTCCCTGCCCCCCTGTCAGGTTCCACAGCCAAACAAAGAAGTACACACTTATCAGAAGGTAATCTTTCTTCACAGGGAAAGTGTTCCAACCCTTTTATCATTCTAGTTGCCCTTTTCTGCACTTTTTTCCAATGCTATAATATCCTTTTTGAGGTGTGGTGACCAGAACTGCACACAGTATTCCAAATGAGGTCGCACCATTGATTTATACAGGGGCATTAAGATACTGGCTGATTTGTTTTCAATTCCCTTCCTAATAATCCCGAGCATAGCGTTGGCCTTTTTTTATTACACACAGAGAGAGATTTTATACATTACCACTTTTTACAGTGTTACCATGTAATTAACTATGTTGACACAACACCACATAATAAATGAAGTTCCAGTATTTACACAAAGTGGAACAGATCTACATTGCAGTCCTAAACAAAGTTATGCCCTTATAACTCCAGAGCAGAAAGGAATAACTCTATGTCGGATCAAGACAAAGTTTGAGTCCAGTGGCATCTTTAAGACCAACAAATACATATGTGCATACAAAATGCATGCATACACACGAAAGCTTATACCCAGAATAAAACTTTGTTGGTGTTAAAGGGGCCACTGGACTTAAACTTTGTTCTGCTGCTTCAGGCCAACACGGCTACCCACTTGAATCTATTTAGGATTGTAATCCTACGATCCTTTCTGCAACTTGGACCTAAACTAGTTGTTTCAGAGGAAAGTATATGAGACACCCCACAATAACTATCCATCTATCTCTTGCTGCTTGTTCCAGCTGATGGGACTGCATAACACAAGTTGCAGATAAACCTATTTTCTGCATTAAATTGTTTCTGCTATAAACACAGAATTGGTTTTGTTTTTGACCAATAGGGAGTGACCTAATTATGAAAGCACAGTTGTAAGCAACTATGACAGGAATGTATAAATGGCCAGAGAGAAGAGCAAGGCATGTGACAAATTAACTATACTCACGATCTCTGTACCTCAGCACCACTGGATCTTCCAGTTCTGTGCTCAGCATGATCAGAGGACAGTTTTCTGTGGTCCTGGGGAAATTATGAGCCTGAAGACTGGGCTCCAATGCATATGAGTGTCCCTCAAAGAAGTACTCCTGGTGGTGGCCAACTATATTTGTTTCCTGGAAGACTTCTTCTAGAAATATGGCAGCTCTAGAACAAAAAAAATTGGCAGTTCTAGAACACAAAAGAAGTAGGAATAATGGACCAGTGTTTTCATATATAAAGGAACCTATATCACTTTTCTTTCTGAGGTCACACTAGAAGGGCACTTCCTTTGTCATTCCTTCTCAGGGTGCTAGGTCTCCTGTGCTCACCTTCCAAAAATTACTCAAAACTTTCTCATTCTAGCAGCTTTGAGGGTAAGGCTGAATGCTATTTTTAACTGAACAGAGGGGATAATATATCTGCTGTTGCTTGTAAAACAGTTTCCAAGCTGGACTGAGCTTGTTTCATTATATATATATATATTCTGATCCTTACGTGTTATAGGAGTGGATGAAGACCCAGTGCATGGCAGCTTGTGGCAAACAGAAGACAAGGATTATCGTCCGGTGCAGGATGTCATTGGTTTCTGCAAAAAACTGGTCAAAGCCCCAGCACTGCTCTTGATCAGCCTCCAAAACGTTTGCGAGGATGGGGACAAGTAGTCTTTTCAGTCCACTACAGGGAGCAAAGAAGAAAAACAGCTCAATATTATTCTTCTACACACCCACACCAGTGGAAGGCAATGCCTCTGCAGAACTCAAGTCCAGTTTGTGTTTATCAGTGTTTATTCGGTATAAAACCAGCACAAGTCAATTACAATCAATCACCTCAGTAGGTCAATACAAAAAAGATACTAGTAAGCTTTATAAAATATCAAATATTTAAATAAAAACTGTATTTAGTAATTACAAAATTGCTAAAACTCTAAATGTCTACAATACTCTTAACAACAGTTGAATAAGTATTCTCGGGGTTGTACAATTTTACTCTGCATCCCCTGGACCTTCTAGATTATTTCTAAGATTGTTCTACAGGTGTAATACATATTTTTGAGCTATTGCTAGAAATTTAGCATAGTTTATTATGAGCTGCGGGACAGGATCAAATAATAGTTTCCTACTTATCTCCTTATCTGAATATCCGTGATACCTCTTTAGGATAGGATGAATAATCTTTACTCTGATGGTTTCATAAAATACACAGTGGAGTAGAATATATTCAATTGTTTCAACTTTCCCTGAACTACATGGGCATAATCGCTCTGGCAAAGGTACCTTTTTATACCGGCCTTCTAACACCACATTACTGATGTAGCACAGTGGCTGGTTCGTATGGCTGGGTTCTACACCTCCTACATAATGTAACTATCTATTTTCACTAGATAGTTTATATTGTTGATTTTTGATTTTGGATGACATTGTAACTGGTTTGAGAGCATATTGGCTGTTTATTAAATTGACTCTTAAATATGATAAAAAGCATGAGAATTAAATGGGAGCGTCCAGTTTCAGAGGCAAAATGCCCTCAAATACCAGCTGTAGGTGGGAAAATAGTTGGGGATGGCTTCTGACTTCATGCCTTGCTTCCCAGAAACATCCGGCTAACCACTGTGAAAAAGGGTGTGGAACTAGACGGTCCTTGGCCTGATACAGTGGAACTTTTAAGGTCCAAGTTGCATAACCCTCTAGTCAGAAACTACACAGGCACAGGAGTATGTACTTGCATACACAACTGCATGAGAAAAATGATCAGGACTTCCAAGTACGACTCAAACCTGAGAGCAGAAAGATTAGCCCTATGTTATTTCAGTGAGCTGGGAGTACATAGGAGTACATGTGCATGCACTTGTAAGTGACACAAAGAAGATTCTGCTGCACAGCAAGGAACTGAACCTCAGAAGCCTCCAATCACGCTCATCAGCTCCCCGTCTACTCACAGAGAAAGTCGGCATGTGATTGGTAGCTCATAGGTCCAGTCAATGGTCCCATTCTCTTGTTGTTGGATGCCTGCGATAGCTCCAGTGGGCTTCTCAGTTGTTATTTTGTACCTATTCAAAGAAAGAAACATTCCAGTTTTGGGAGTCAGCAAACAAGGATGTCTTTTCTTCTAGATACTTAAGTCACATTTACTGGGTTTCTGTTTTTTTTCAAAGGGTAGAGAGGATCCTGCTGGGAGGCGGGTTTAGTGGGCTAGAGGAGGAGATGAAGTTGACAGTTAAAGAAACCATGCAACATACATACATTATTTCCTTGTTCTTGCGAGGTCCTCCAAAAGGGATAAACGGGAGGCTGCCTGTGGCTGCATGGTAAAAGGTTACCCCAATACTCCACAGATCTACAGTTGCCCCATAAGCCCTCTGCTGGGGCTTCTTCAGCACAGCTCGCTTATATATATCTGGGTGCTGTAAGAGATGAAGTAAAAAAATAAGAACATTTCATTTTGCTTTTTAGTTATTTATTTAGTACATGCTTATTTTGCTTTCCCTCCAAGGAGCTCAGAGTGTTGTACACTGTTCTCCCCTCCCCCTTTTATCTTCACGACAATCCAGTAAGATAGTCCAGGCAGAGAGAGAGGGTGCTTGGTGGAAGGTTAGTCAGCACGCTTTATGGCAGACTGGAGGTTTGAACCTGTGTTTCCCAGCTCCTAGTCCAACACCTCCAACCATTACATCGAACCAGCTTTCCTTTTGGACATTCCCAGCTTCAACATTAAGGCTGTTGTTTACTGAAAGAATCTTAAATAAATACCACAATCTCCAAATTGTTAGTTTCCAGGGGCAGGGAGTTGCATTACCAAAGGCAAGTCACAGATAGCAGCTCTTTCTGCAGCTGGGTTACACAGACTCCGGGGCATTTTACACAGCACCCCGTAGCACTTCAGAAACGATATAGAAAAGTGAAGACCGCTTGGAAGCAGTTTGCAGGTAAAACGGTTCAGAAACACTTCCCTATCGGGACAGAAGCGTTTCTGTCTGAAAGTGAAAATATATTCTGGTAGGGAACCATCACTAAAACGGTTCTGTCTGAAATGTCAGTCCATTTCCAGCACGTTTAATCAGAGGAATGTTCTCTGAGAGATGCACCATGGAAGGAAGAAACATTGTACACATGTAGAGCCTGGAACTGTAATCTCATGCACTTCCATGTAAGGCCCATTGCATACAGTGAGACTCACTTCCAAGTAAACATGCATAGGATCAGGCCGCTTGAATAATTAAACAATTTTCCAGATGATACCTCTCCAGTTTATAGCATGATAAATGTGCATTTGAGATTCATTTCTTGGGCATCTTGGTGTTGGCATCTTCCCTTGAGCTTCTGGTTCCATGTCAGGGATACCATTTATTTCCAACACTAAGCATATTTTGTACTTGGGGAAAATTATTCTTTTGGCAGCTGATGTACCAATTTCTATTGTGATTTCTATAGACTGCAGCTGCCCGAACACTGTGTGCATCCATTGTCTATTGCTAGTGATGTCATTAGTGATAGTAGCACAAGTCTGCTATCCGCCAGCAGCACTCCAACACTGTACAAAGTCACTGTTGGAATACCAGTTCAAACAACTTTACCGGAGGGGGTGCTTTGCAAAAATCAGCAAGACTCCCCCAACCCCAGTTACTTTTCCCCACCATAGAGAACAATGGAAGGGATGGGGGCAACCTGTTTGGGGGCCCGTAGAATTGGACCCCTTGGTCCAATGTTCTTGAAACTTGGTGGGTATCTTGGGGAGAGGCTCCAGCAGCTCCGCTGCAAGATTGGAGCCTTTCCCTCAAACCACCTTCCCTCCAGCCCCCTAGAATATACCCTATGTTTTTGCCATTGACTTCAATGGCCCATAGGATATAATGGGGCCAAAATTGACATTCGGCTGGGGCTCCTACTGCCGAAATTGACACACGGGAGTCTTTCTGCCGCCAAAATTGATTCTGCCCGATTCGGCCGCCAGCCCAGGATGGAGCCTGTGAGGCTGCTGACAGGTGGGGAAGTTGTGGGGTCTTGGTAGGAAGTCGGGGGGCGGGCCTCAGAATGCTTCAATGTAGCTACGGGCCTGGCCATTGGCCTGATCCAATATGTTCTCAAGTTCCCCCTTCCCGAGGTTAAACCCCCACAGCAGTCTCTTACAATTTCCTGAAGGGTCACCAGAATCCACAATGACCCCAGTCGCAAATCACTCCAAGTCATTTCTCTTGTCTCTTCTCTTTTGGAAACCCAGGGGCATGGCAGTGGTCAGAATGTCAGAATAGGATCTTGGAGTTCCAGTTTCACATCCCCACTCTGCCATGAGGGCTTATTGGGTGACCCTGGGCCAGTCTCTTGCTCAACGTCACCTACCTCACAGGATAGTTGTGAGGATAAAGTAGAGGAGGGGAGAACCATGTTGTCAGTTGCTTTAGGTTCTCATTGGGGAGAAAAGCAGAGCACAAATGTCAAAACAAAAAATGTAAATAAATAGATGCTAGTATATTAAGTCCTTTGCTTTCTATAGTAATAAAAAAACCAATTCACTACACCAACTCTGTGTTCCAGATTCAGAATAAGACACACATTTTATGCCTTCAGAAGTTCACTTTCTTAATTAAAAGGGCCCACTTTGCGCTTTACTCACAAGATATTCTTCTGTCCCATAAACTGACACAAACTTTTCATCATCCTCCAGTTCGCGGGCAGCTCCAAAATCAGTCAGCTTGTAAACACTCTGTCCGTCTTCTCCAATGAGACGCATGATGTTTCCTGGTTTGATATCCCTGTGAACAATCCCATTCTCACGAAGATGATTCATGCCAGACACTAAAAACGGAAATAAGGGGAAGGAGTATGAAAAGGAACTCATAGAGCAGGGGCAGAATTTGATAGATGAGGAAACAGGTATTTCTATCTTTGCATCTTGACATGAGGAAACTACTGTGAAGCCTAGGCCAGGGGTGTTGAACGCATGTTATAAGGGCCAGATCTGACATAAATGAGACCTTGTTGGGCCGGGCCATGTGTGTCGTAAAATGTAATGCCAGGTAGTGGAGATATAAACTTTATAAAGGACACAAACACAAAGGGTTTTTTTTACTTAAAAATAAAAACATGCTACTTAAAATAAAAACATGCTTAAAACATTAGCACTCTTGCAATATTTTGTCTAGTTGACAGTGTCTGATAACTGACACCTCCTGCTCTGAATTATTGCATCAAAATGTCTGTGCTGTTGCAATCTTGAGTATGCTGTTCAGGTGTGTATCTCTAAGCTGCAAACCTATGATGACACAGCAGCAGCAGAACTGGAAGAAAAAGCAGAAGACAACCAGTTCCACTGCGGGCCTGATAGAAGTCCTCCGGGGGCCTGATCCAGCCCCCAGGCCGTATGTTTGACACCCCTGGCCTAGGCAAACAGCTTCACAGAAACACAGCCCTGGGCTGGGGATACTGTAGAAGGGAACCTGTTTACCTTTTGAAATCACCAACATGTCTTTCAGGCAAGATTCTCAGAGAATAACTTGCAGAATGGATGGAATAATAAAAAGCCTTGAACAAGCTCAGCCAGGTTTCCTCAGGATTGGTTGGTATTTAGAGCAATACATACAAAATACACAGGTGAATATGTCTTTTTCCACAACTCATGATAAGTAGGAAAGAACTGCCCTTTTCGAATGCACACATCCTCAGCCTTCTGAGAAAACCACCAGATTCTGGTCTCCAGCTTAAATTCCTCAAGGGAGCTGAAAAACAATTGCTCACAAGAGACAGAATGTTTGTAAACTGCTGGCCATGTGGATTATTCCAATTTTGTGGGGAGTCAGCAAGACATCACCTTGGAATTGACCCTTAGAGGAGCCATGTTCTGTGTGTTTTGATTGGACCAGGGATATGCAAACTCCTAGACCCATCACCTTTAACAAATGAGTAACCCCGAAACTTACCTACACAGTGTAACACTATGAGGAACTCGGATTCTGACAAGCCAAAGGCATTTTCTGGTTCTTCTAACAAGGTCAGCAGGCTCCCACCTGAGCAGTACTCCATTACCAGCACTTTCTGTTTGCTGCTTTCCTGTGTTTGGATTTGAGGGTGAAAGTGAAATCCTATCAGTAGGGACTGGATTGTTTATCTCAGTTACAAAAATGGGCCGCTGTTTTGGACACCTCACTTTGCCACAACTGAAAGACAGCATGAATTCCCTGAAAGAACTGTTTTAATCACACTAAAACTAACTGGAAAGAGCACGGAGGAGGAGCAAGAGAGGGGAACTACTGGCCATCATGCCTATAATTAGACACCAGCTACACAATAACCAGATGGTACAGGCCTCCTAGGATTGTGTCACTTTGGAATAAGGTAGGAAAGAATTATGACAAATTTCTCTCTAACTAAAAGAAGGCTAGGCTCATATCCTTCTCACATGCTAACTTTCCACAGTCAAATATTCAATTATATTATTCCTTGCCTGCTCTCTCTCTCTCTTTTTTTTTTGCATTTTGTGTGTGCGCGCGCGTGCCTGGAAGCCATGGCGACCTCTGGCAATTCCTACTGGGGCATGGAGGACATTCAGAGAAGTGGCTTGATAGCCTGCCTCTGCCTCCTGGCCCTGGCATTCTCTGGAGGTCTCCCATCGAAATACTTGCCAGGGTTGGCCCTGCTTAGCTTCAAGATCAGGCTCGCCTGGGCTATCCAGGTCAGGGCTCTTGCCTGCTCTTTTAAGTGGAGCATATCCTAGTCTATACCCCATCATTCCACTGAATGTGCAATCCTTAGTCTCTTTAAACTCATTAATCTTCCCATGGTTTGAGATCAAATGCTGCACTGAAACAGGCTGCATTGTGGCATACTGGTGTACCAATGCCAACATCCAGTATCTGTGGATGTATACATCCCCCAAACACAAACCATACATATCATAGCTTCAAATGGTTTGGGGCATATTTTTATGAACAAGGTGCCCAGATAAAGAGTTAGCCATGCCTACACAGAAAGGATGCTATGTGTGCTACGTAGGGGCCACAAACACACTGTACAAAAATTCTGGACAAATAAAAAACACATTTTTCATAGGGAATTTATCATAATGCTACTATTAACCCACCAATGTTACCATAGCAACAATTCCTCATTGTAGAGTGAAAGCCAGACTCACAATTTCTTCCACAGCAAAGAGTTTGACAATGTTTTGGTGGTTTAACTTCCTTAGGACTTCAAATTCTCTCATCTGTACCTCCTGAGGTCTCAGGTAACTGGCATTGTTGAAGACTTTAACAGCAACTAGTTCTCCTGATTTC